ACAGCATCAATTTTAACGAGGGACTGAGGTGTTTGATGTCTTGATCTCATAGTTGGTCCGATCTACCCAGAACTAAACTGACGTAAAGCACTGATACTCCGGGAAGTCAGTAGTTGGTTAACATGTACAGAATTGCTGTATAACTTCCAATATTTCGGAAATGAAAAATTTAAAAACAAAGGCCATAAAATCCGTGAAATCATGTGTAGTATTTGCTTTATTTTTATATAAAAACTCATTAGCTGTGTAATATATTTTATTGAAGTCGACGTTGTCACTAATACATGGTAGTTCGTACTGCAAGGCATAGATCTAAATCAAAATAGGATCCTTTTCTGTAAATTCTGTAAGTAACTATCACAGTTAAGTAGGCTTTACAAATTTGTTCTTTATTAGCCCTTAAATTGAGAAATTGGCGAAAAAAGTTGTGAAGGGTAATGGTAATTTGCTCAAAAAGACACGTCGATTTTGTGAAAAAAAAAATCGATTTATTAGTTTTGTTTTCGTAAATTACTATTAGTTTTGAGTTTCTTACCGATGTTAAGAGATTTTGTTAGTTGTTTATAAGCTTCCTTTGTAATTTCTGCAGATTTTGATCGCGCAATTTACCATTTTCACCAAAATATTGAATAAATACGCAAAAAATCGTTCATGCGTTTGTATCGCTTAGCGTTATAATTGACACTGAGAAGTGGTGAGCGCTTTAGAGGCTAACTGTTAGCCTCTAAAGCGCTGATATTTTTGTCGACGCTTTTGAGCCGCCGTTACTCTATCTAGAGAGTAAATAATCTAAGCATTTTACTTATTATTATTTCTTATGGATATTCCATTTGGTTATATAATCTCAGGAAAGCCTATGAGTGATTACAACGTACTCGTATCGAGCTTATATTATCTTCTTCTTCTTCTTCAGTGCTGTCCTCTGTAGCTTTGTTTTTGCGAGCTATCAAATTCACAAATGTTGAATTAAGCCTTTTCACAGTATCACACTTAAGGATGCTAATGTTATGTATACAATTTTATACGTAGTATAGCCATGCTTCAGCTATATTAGTAGTATAGTTGAAGTACGAATGGGTCGGCTCGACCGGGGAAGGACCACGCTCTCACAGATTACCAGCGTAAAATAGCAGCTTAACACTGATGTGTTTCGTATGGTGAGTGTATAGAACCGGAGACCCTTTTTACTGGAAAAGAGGCATTCCATCTTATTCCTCACGGGACAACGCATCTGCTTTTTGATTCGCAAACGAGGATAAATGTAGATCGCTATGGGCCACAGCAACCACTTACCATCAGGTGGACTGTGTGCCCGTTTGTCACTCTATCCTATAAAAAAAACCGGCCAAGTGCGAGTCGGACTCGCGCACCGAGGGTTCCGAAGAAATCCGTCATTATTCATTAATGACGGATTTCTTCGGAAATCCGACTGTGTGCCCGTTTGTCACTCTATCCTATAAAAAAAACCGGCCAAGTGCGAGTCGGACTCGCGCACCGAGGGTTCCGAAGAAATCCGTAGTTTAAAATTATTAAAAGTATTTTTATTTTATGATGTAACTAAAAATTTATGCGTTTCGCAATTTTTCCTTTATCTGTGCTATAATACGTTGCTTCGTACCAAATTTTAAGATTCTGAGTTCACGGGAAGTACCCTGTAGGTTTTGATTCCCTTGCGGCATAATATTTGCGGCATAAACGGCTGTATCTTTTGATTGCGTTTGCTTAGAAGTTTGATTTTTTCATAGCTCCAAGGGACAATAGACTTCAGTATTTGATATGAATTTCAGATTGATACCTCCACGCGTTCCTAGTTCCTAGTAAATAATACGGTTATCCAACGCCAGGCAAGAGCAAAATTGGATGAAAAAGTATGAAAATACATAGTACATAATATTTTTTTTAGTTTCCACTTACTGGTGAAAGGATATACCACTGGTGAAAGTATATACCACTCCACCGCGCTTGTAAAGCACGGTAGAATAACTGCTCCATAACTCTTCACTCCTGCCCAGCAATAAGATGGGCATATCCAGGCTATTAACTTTTACTTTTCTGTTGCGGAATTCCTACAGTTTATTTATACCCAAACATACTGTATTTTATCTTAACAAGTTGTCAACTATATGTGAGGGAAAAACTCTAAATGACATAACAAAGTAGATTATGCAAGCTTACACAAAAGAAAATAGGAGCATTTACGTCTAGCTAATGTAACCCTATAATGGCATCAACATCGCCTATCTAAGTCAACGGTTTAAAGTTTGCATATTCGGAATAGCTAAGCCTTTTGTGAAACTCTTTAGTTTGTCGAGATTACTATAACCAAAGATTGTATCGCAGTTTTATCTTAAATGGCAACCCAAGTTCTACCCTAATAATACGCAATATTGGGTTAATGTCAAATGAAAGTTAGATTTTGCGGTTAAAAATCGATGGAAATAAAAAAAACCATATTATATGATTGCGACGTAATTCATAACCCCATTTTGTCCATTGTTTTAATATTGCGTGTGTGAGAGAGCTATTATAAAATACCTAAAACGGTGTGGAGAACCAGTATCGGCAGCAATACGTCTTGTACGTACTGCGACAGCGAATCGGCCTACCATATTATGGCGTTTTAGTAAAACCCTTCCTACAATGGGAGAAACCTATGTATGTAACAGTCAAGAAGTACGCTGTGATGGGTTATGAAGTTATGAAAGTAGCAAAAATAAAATATAAGAGGGTTCATTAAAATTTATTATTCCTCCTACCAAGTATGCGAAAAATTCGTAAATCACCATCCAGTCAATGAAAGTTTCTATTAAATGGAAAAATAAAAAATATGACATGTTCTTAAAATTTAAAAGGTTATAAGATTCCTAGACTATACTAACAGTGAGATTTACGTTCTGTAAGTATTTCTCTGGATAACTCGGTCTCATATTGGACCTTCGTATTACTAACATTAAATAATTACTCCATACACTCTTAAAAAAAGAGCTATCTAGCAATCATGCAGTTTTTACCTATATCTTACTCAGAAATTTGAAATTGTATGCACGTAATATTGAACAAATGGCCAGACTGGTGTTGGAATTTCGTGTTTAAAATGGGAGCTATTAATTTAATCTGCCGACTTCCAAAAAGGAGACGGTACTCAATTCGACTGTATGTTTTTTTTTATGTGTGTTACCTCATAACTTTTTCCTGGGTGAACTGATTTGGATGATTCGTTTTTTTTATTTGAAAGCTGGTACTTCTCGTGTGGTCCCATATGAATTTGATCAAAGTCAGACCAATAGTTTTTGAGTTATTCTTAATAACTTATATTCAAATCGGCTGTACATAATTTTGAATTTTAAATTTTATACGTTACAGCTACATTATAGCTATTGTATGATTGTGTTAATTCAGCCAAAGTAGGATGAAGCTCTTATAAAATAAGACTGCCCCACGGCTTAGAATTAAATTGTGGCGCTAGGGACCGTGGGCTTGAATCTCTATCGACACAAGATGTTTGTATGACTTACAGATAATCGTTCTACCTCCACGACACAAGAGAAAATCCTAGCGTGGGAGTAACATTTTCTACAGACTTCAAAAAGGAGATGGTACTCAATTCGACTGTATGTTTTTTATGTGTGTTATTCATACCTTTTTACTAGGTGGTCCGATTTCGATGCTTTTTTATTTGAAAGCTGGTGCTTCACACATGGTCCCATATAAATTTGATCAAGTTCTGACCAATAGTTTTTGAGTTATTCTTAATAATTATATTGAAGTTGGTTGTACAAAATGTTTAATTTTAAATTATTGTAAACAATAAAACATACCAATATAAAATAACAGCATAATGCTGCTATGTTTCTTATGTTGAGAACCGGAAGCCCTTTTACTGTCAAAAAGGCATTCCGTCTCAGTCCTCAGGGAAAACAGCTATCCGCATTTTGACCTTTAAACGAGGATAGTTAGATCTATAAGTCACAGGGTCTACTTATTACGAAGTGAACTGTATCAGGTGTTGGTTACTTTAAATAAAACACGATTCAATGCTATTGAGTATTTTTTTTTATTTAAGTAACCAAGACTAATTGCTATTGTTCTAGCGCCTTTTCTCTCAACATTTTTTTTTAAATTTGCCGTAGATAACTTTAACTAATTGTCATGTGCAAAGCAGTGCCCTAATAGTTGTTGATGCTATATCAGATTATATGCCTACTTTAATTTTAAGCCACAGAATATTTATCTAAGTACAAAAAGTAAAATATCGCTTATTTAGATACGTAAATTCATCCCACAGTAGATACATGATTTTGCAAGAGAGCTTGATCGTCTCATCGAAACAGAAATTAATAGTCCAGGAAGTAGTGTCAAAGGTACCTAGCGTTTAAGCCTGTGTAGTGATGACGTTGAAGTCTTTATGCTATAGAAAAACCCAATGTCCAGCAGTTTACTGCTTCATGTAAGCAGTAAACTGCTGGACATTGGGATTATTTACTATAAATATAACAAGTTCAATCAATCGGTGGGTTAATGCACAATAATTTTGAAACAATAAATTCTATTTAAAAACGTGTAATGTATAAGATAATTATAACTTATTACGGAATTGGAAACAAGTAGTAATTTAATAGGTCTTACGTGATATGTACATTGCGTCACTAGAAATTTTTATTGATGTAGAATTACTGTGTGAGTTTAGCCCACATTTTAATATGTGACATACAGCGCGCTCCTTATCAATTCCGAGAGAGCGAGATGGGAAATTATTTTATAAACGTCTTTGTCGAAACGGGAACAGCAGTATATTCGGTTTCGGACAGCGTCGCGTCATATCGTACTAGTTCGGCGTCCATTCCATTTGATGCGATTACTTTCTTTCGTTCAGTCAGTACAGTGCGCATGTGCGAACAATGTCAAACGGGTGTTTGTGAAGTTCACTCTTTTCAACATAACCTCTTATGTCCTAATTTTTAAATTAAGTTTATTGACAGAAATAGATATTTTAGTTCAAAATGGCTCAATTTAGTGCATTAGAAAAATTAGGGATTACGTTCCTTGCAGCCATATTATTTACTATTTTGATAAATGTGCTAAAATTTGTGTATACTTATGTTGTTGGTCCAACAATGAACAAAGTGGATTTTAAATCTAAGGGAAAGTGGGCATGTAAGTATTAAATTTTAAAATAAGTATTCAGTAGTATTGAATTATTTTTTTTAATACACCAGAAATATGCAATTATTATATTGTACATATATGACAAAATTGGTAAGTACAATAATAGGGAACAATAATTAGCAAATCTACTTTCAACTGGAAATTAGTTTCTTTAGCTATATTTTTATCAGTGGCATTGATTATTACATCGTTTTGTTTACATAGGTACCAGTAATAATCGACATAATACATACATACATCATTTTGTTTATATACCAGTAATAATCAACATACCTAATACAAACAACTCAGAGAGAAAGAGGTCTATCCTAAAATTCGAGTAAATTTGTAAACTGTAAATTCGTCGAGTGTGTTGGTGATTTTTATACATTCATCGGATGTTATTAGTATTCTATACATATATACGTAAGAGTAACTGGTTATCCTAATGACAATAGTACGTATGTCAGCTGTTATTTGTATTGTTGCGTATTACTATCCGTAATTACTAAAATAACTTATTGATTTTTTTTTGCTTTTTTTAACTTGACAAATGTTAAAACTGTGACTTGAAGTTCAATATTATGTTATTCGAATAAAACAATATCTCTTGGCGCAATCTTACTAGATCAGACTATAACTAGAGACGAGATTGTTTTGCGGCTTGTTTTACTAATATTTTGTGGGGTTAAGCTATGGTGATTTTTTTTTACATTGTAGTAGGTACTACTTATTATTTTTAATAAAACACATCATATGCAATTATATCAAAGCAAGATAAGAGTCAAGTTATCTTCAGTTATTAGGCGTGTAAATAAGGAGTGATCACAAATATAACCAAAAGAAAGAATTGTTTTTCAGTATTGGCTACGGATTTGAACCTGCGACGTAATTGACAACGAGGTGGTTATCGGAAATGCTATTACAATAATAACTAGACGTGTTTTAATAACTTTATAAAATAATGTAATATTTATTTTAATATGTTGGATACTTTATATAATTGTGCTCACTTAATCAATCTGCTTCGAGGGGTTGAAATAATAAATTTCAATAATAATGTCACTAAGCAGGCGATATTGATTCTCGAACGTACACGGAATACATTATTACTTAGGTACTTATTTTTACTAACTATATTAATAATATAGCTCTACCACGTCTTAACTGTTAAAGAAGAGGTTTATAACGCCTCCTGATCACACTAACTTAAATTTTCTGCCGACTTCCAAAAAGGAGACGGTACTCAATTCGACTGTATGTTTTTTTTAATGTGTGTTACGTCATAACTGCTTACTGGGTGAACTGATTTGGATGATTCTTTTTTTATTTGAAAGCTGGTACTTCTCGTGTGGTCCCATATGAATTTGATCAAGGTCTGACCAGTAGTTATTGAGTTATACTTAATAACTTGTATTGAAGTCGGATGTACAAATTTTTAAAATTTTAAATTATAATTTATACTTTGAAGTAATGACACTTTGGTCACGGCATACTCACTTTCTTTGAATATAAATAATGTCAGCAATTTCTCGTAGCATTACGTGTTGTCAGACTGGTATAGGTTGATAATAAGCAGTTATATCGTCGAGTTTGTTGATGTCTTCTTAATACAAATACTTTCGAATCATTGCTTTTCTGCCGACTTCCAAAAAGGAGACGGTACTCAATTCGACGCGTATGTTTTTTTCATATGTGTTACTTCGTAACTTTTTACTGGGTACCGATTTCGATGATTCTTTTTTTATATGAAAGCTGATACTTTTCGTGTGGTCCCATATGAATTTGATCAAGGTCATACCAATACTTTTTGAGTTATTTTGATTATTCTTAATAACTTATATTGAAGTCGGCTGTACAAAATTTTTAATTTTAAGTTATATAAATATAAATTACATATATCATTGGTAACGGTCAGCGTCTAGACAACCACACCGGGACACCCAAATTCTGATTATCTGTTTCAATGCTTTGAGCTTATCCATCATACAGGCATCAGCGGCTGCTTTCTTCTGTGGTCCTATATAAACTTGATCAAGGTCTTATCAATAGTTTTTGAGTTATTCTTAATAATTTGTATTGAAGTCGGTTGTACAAAATTTTTAATTTTTAATTATTTGTTTTTAAATTATTTCGTTTGTGTTAAAAATTACATGTTTAAGTTGCGTACCTCATAAGAAAAAAAAAACTTATATATTTACCATAGTTGCCACGTTTGGTTGGAGGATTGGCTACCGCAGTTTTCTTTTCTAGTTTTTATAAGAAAAACGCTTCTGCCCATCTTTTGGTATGTTTTCCTCTGTCGCCTCTTAAGACACCTACGGGACGATATGAGGTAGTGGATATTTATACATAACCACTATACGGTAAATTAAACTACAACTTTGAAAAACTCAAAATATTAATCATTTATAAGTACAAAGAAAATATTTATTCCATTCTGATTGTTATACAAAGTATTTGCAAAGTATTAGGAAAACTCCTTACGGCCGTAACACAAACCTTAAAAGGTATCAAGTTAATATAAATACAAAAATACTAATGTCTAAGGTTTCTTAAAGGCGTAAAAAATTTCAAAGATGCGGGTAGTTTTATTTATTTATTTCTTTATTTGTATGGATCTCCAACAGTTGTACATATTAAATTACTTCTAATACATGCCTTACATCTACAAATTACTATGTACTACCAATTATAGGAGAACACATCTTTCTAAAACAGTGTTTATAATTTGCCTATTTTAATGGTAGTTGTAACTAAAATAACAAAAATAAGTTTAACGAACAAAAGATAGATAATAATTTTTGTAACATAAATAAAAGTTAAGTTTAGCATAAAGTTAGTGACTAATTAATTTTCCAAACTATCATTACACTTTTTCATAAAAAGTGTGAGCCCGTTACAACCAATGTCTAGCGTAGCTATGTTTTTTACACATACATTGTATACACGTGATATACGTGTTATTGGAGAATTCTGTCCAAGTTTTGTTCTAATGATATCAGCCTTATAGAAAAGACATGGGTTGCGAGGAGGTCTCCGAGGTACATTAATATTAAATCTACCCAACAGCTCACTGTCATCAATTTTACCATGGAAAAGTTTATGAAGAAATTTTAAATCAAAAAGAGATCTACGAACTGCCAGTGGTTTCATCCTAAAGTAATCGAGTTTATCTTTGTAGCACTCACTATGACTTGACGCCTTAAAACGAAGTATTAGGTGTTTAATGAGTTTTTTGAACACGTTTGATTCTTTCCATGTGGTTTTTGTAAGCGTGAGACCATACTTGACAACAATATTCAAGTTTGCTACGGACCAAACTGTTGTACAGTTGAAGTATTGTTGTTACCTTTTTAAAATCTTTAGACTGTCTAAGAACAAAGCCGAGCAACCTGAAAGAAGCAGTCACTATAGAATTTAAGTATATGTTTATCGAATATTTAAATTTTATATCACATATTATTTTGATACTAGCACATTCACTCATCCAAACCTAATACGGTATTTCCTGTTGAACCAGAAACATGTGCTCACTTAATCAATCTGCTTCGAGGGACTGAAATAATAACCTTCAATAATAATGTCACTAAGCAGGCGATATTGATCCTCAAACGTACACGGAATACATTATTACTTACTTCTTCGTGTAAAAAGGCACCCAACGAGTAAAAGTAAAAAAAATCTGTTGAAAATAACAAGGTAAAATTTGTCGAAGTAAAGACAAATTTCATTATAAATTATAAATCAACTGATACAATAATATATATAGACTGCAGTGTGTCGATCGACAATGTCCCTCGCCTGTGTCATTCGTTGTACACGGAATAGGTAGGTTAATGGAGTGATAACTTAGTTATTATCTATATTGCGACCTAGGTCAGCCATATGACAGAACGGTAGCACTTCACCTGATAATGAAAAAGGCATTTTTCCTGCATATTTATTCATGTTTCATATTTTATGTAATACTAGCAATCCGCCCTGGCATAGCTTGGTTTAACACATAATTGAAATTTTATCAAGTTATCGTATTTTTTTTAAATTTCCCAGAATAGAATAGAATAGAATAGAATGATTTTTATTCAATATGGATTATTACATAATACTTATTGAAAGTCATTATTTTATTTACCACTGGTTCGGAAAATACCTCTGTCCTGGGAAGAATCAGCAAGAAACCCAGCGGGACTTTTTTTTTAAACATAATTTCACTTAACAATAATTTTGTTTATACAATTTTAAATGAATTTTCATAGAACCAGCATGGTGGCGATCACCTTATTCCCAGGGGTTATTTTGATTCATGTATTCCTTGATATTATAATAACCCTTTTTGTACAGTTTTTCTTTAATAAAACTTTTAAACTTGTTTATTGACAAACTTTGAACATGTTCTGGGATTCTGTTGTAAAAGCGTATACATTGCCCCATAAATTAATTACTAATTCTGTGGAGTCTTGTAAGTGGCATTACAAGCTTATGTTTGTTCCTAGTGTTTAAGGTATGAACATCCTTATTCTTATTAAAGCTATTTACCGACTGTCTGTCTGTCTGGGCTACGAAGATTAGCCCAGACAGACAGACAGTCGGACAGACAGAAACATTTAAAATTTCATGTTTAAGTTGCGTACCTCATAATGAAAAAAAAACTTGCGTCTGTCAAGACTTTTTTTCTCAGGAACGGGTACTTAAAGGTATCAAGTTAAGGTAAATAAAAAAATAATTAATGATTTCTTATATTTACGCGAACACTACACATTTAAATAAAACTAATTTTACGGATTTTATAGCGTATGTTAACTTATTTTATATTCCCGACGTTTTGAGCACTTTACAGCACCTATAGTCACGGGGGGGACTGCGTCCTAATGTCATAGTTAACCACGGCTACCTCAAGATTAAAAAAATACTAAGTACTGTCTAAGGTTCCTTAAAGGCGGAAAAAAATTCAAAGATACGACCAGTTTTATATCACACATTATTTGGATACTAGTACATTCACTCAT